TACATAATATTATACAATACATATATAAAAGGAATAGGTAATTGTAAGAACATACAATTGTATTTTAGAAATAAAATTATATTCATATTATGTAATAATAAATATAGATACAGCAAAACATTACATACTTGTTTTCAATAAAGATACAATAATCACAATAAAACTGTAGTAAGAATGTCAGCAATTTTTAAGTCCATGTTTTTGAATATACCTTTCCCTAGCTTCTCTTATCATTTTAGCTTTTCTTTCCTGAAAGGAAGTTGTTCCTAAGTTACTATTATCCTTGATCATGCTTGTTTGCACTTGATTACGTGATGCAGAAGGAGCAACACTTGTTTGACTTAATTCTGGTGTATAAGTAACTATGCCATCCAGAATATTGGCAATAGTGAGTTCAACATTGCGTGTTTTCACTGAAAGAATTATTTTGAATTAAACAATTAAAATAAATGTAAGATATATTACATGTACACCAATGATCACGTGTACATACACAAATCTCTGAGGATCACATTATGAGGAACCGATGGAAGCACTTCACTAACTTGTTGTACCATTCTTTGTATCTCAATGCTGTGTATGACTTGCGAGTTTGGTGAATTTCTTCTATTGAGTCTTCTCATTCGCGTTCTTTCCATAATACAACGTTTTTCAAATTCTGCTTTATCTGCTACAGTATGAGAACTTGTCTTAAGACCAAGAGTGGCAGCTATGTCTTTTTCTGTTTCTCGTACCAGTACTTTACTATCTGTATTTCTTTTAACTTTCAGGTATTTAAATGTGAAAACTGTGTAAGGAACGAACATAAACCAAAAGACATCAGTCCACCAAGTGGATGCCAATGAAGTAACACGAATAGGTATGAATTCTGGTCTCCATGCTTTAATGGCAATCGGTTGAATAGATGGTTGTATAGTAAATGGCCATGAATTGAACTTCAACAAAGCTACTCGGCTATTGGTTGTACCAAATTCGGGCTGTAGTACAATATTTTCTCTTGAAGTTAGGAGAAATTGTTTTATATCCGTGATCAGATCTTCTTTACTGCTCATGTTCATTCTTTGAAACCCTAGTGTATTGCTGAGAGCAGCAGGTAATTCCCATTCACTGGGAGTTAATGCTTGTGTAATTTTGTATAATGCAAAGTGATCCAAAACAGAGACATTATTGGCAATAATGATTCTTGACTGTTGATCTTTAATTTCATCTTTAGGAATTTTTACCACAATGCCAAAAGCAAAACTAAACCCATGATGCAAGAATGCTCGAAGAGAATTACAATTAGGTAATAACGATGCAATAAGCCAAAGTTGTAATGCAGTTAATAATCGTAGTAACACAAGTAGAAGACCCACTGGTGTATATAACAATATCGATAGGAGCTGCCAACCACTAGGAAACCTGGATAATAAATATAATTTAAGTATAAAATTTATGTAAAACTAGTACTAATAGAAAAATTGTTTCCATTAAATTAAATAGTATATACAAAAATATTAAACAAGTATCTACTATCATACAAATAACTATTCAATTTTTTATGTTTCAATCAATAGCATATTGCCTATAAACAGTGAATATCATTCTTGTACTATTGTGAAACGCGTAGCATATATAGCAGAAATATATTTTTAACTTAACTTGTGGAATG